AAGACGGGCTATCAAAAGGGTCCTATGGGTTAAGGCGTTATTTGTACTGGTTTCTGAGATATAGCGTTTTTAACCGGCAGACATCTAATTTTCGAAATTTTAAATTTTATCTCTTTAGGGTTAGGAATTGCGAATATTATTGAACGAGAAAAACGCAGTTCTCAATAACCGCTATCGCAAGCTTCCTAACAGCTGATTGCCCAATTGTAACCGTTTTTTATATACGGGGTGTTTTAAGCTGCAAAGCCGCCGATTTTTGGATTTTGACTTCTATCTCTTTAGAGGTTAGGAATTTCCTGTAAGAACTGAGTGATTATTACAAACCTAAAGACGGGCTATCAAAAGGGTCCTATGGGTTAAGGCGTTATTTGTACTGGTTTCTGAGATATAGCGTTTTTAACCGGCAGACATCTAATTTTCGAAATTTTGAATTTTATCTCTTTAGGGTTAGGAATTGCGAATATTATTGAACTAGAAAAACGCAGTTCTCAATAACCGCTATCGCAAGCTTCCTAACAGCTGATTGCCCAATTGTAACCGTTTTTGATATACGGGGTGTTTTAAGCTACAAAGCCGCCGATTTTTGGATTTTGGCTTCTATCTCTTTAGAGGTTAGGAATTTCCTGTAAGAACTGAGTGATTAATACAAACCTTAAGACGGGCTATCAAAAAGGTTCCATGGGTTAAGGCATTATTTGTACTGGTTTCTGATATATAGCGTTTTGAACCCGCAGACATCTAATTTTCGAAATTTTGGATTTTATCTCTTTAGGGTTAGGAATTGCGAATATTATTGAACTAGAAAAACGCAGTTCTCAATAACCGCTATTGCAAGCTTCCTAACAGCTGATTTCCCAATTGTAACCGTTTTTGATATACGGGGTGTTTTAAGCTCCAAAGCCGCCGATTTTTGGATTTTGGCTTCTATCTCTTTAGAGGTTAGGAATTTCCTATAAGTACTGAGTGATTAATACAAACCTAAAGACGGACTATCAAAAAGGTCCTGCGGGTTAAGGCGTTATTTGTACTGGTTTCTGAGATATAGCGTTTTGAACTGCAGATATCTAATTTTTGAAATTTTGGATTTTATCTCTTTAGGGTTAGGAATTGCGAATATTATTGAACAAGAAAAACAGTTCTCGAGAACCGCGATCGCAAGCTTCCTAACAGATAATTGCCCAATTCTAACAGTTTCTGAAATTCGGGGTGTTTTAAGCTACAAAGCCGCAAATTTGTTGGATTTTGGCTTCTATATCTTTAGAGGTTAGGAATTTCTTGTAAGAACTGAGTGATTAATACAAACCTAAAGACGGGCAATCGAAAAGGTCCTATGGGTTAAGGCGTTATTTGTACTGGTTTCTGAGCTATGGCGTTCTGAACCCGCAGATATCTAATTTTCGAAATTTTGGATTTTATCTCTTTGGGGTTAGGAATTGCGAATATTATTGAACGAGAAAAACACACTTCTCAATAGCCTCTATCGCAAGCTTCCTAACAGCTGATTGCCCAATTCTAACCGTTTCTGAAATACGGGGGTTTTAAGCTACAAAGCCGCCGATTTTTGGATTTTGGCTTCTATCTCTTTAGAGGTTAGGAATTTCCTGTAAGAACTGAGTGATTAATACAAACCTTAAGACGGGCTATCAAAAAGGTTCCATGGGTTAAGGCGTTATTTGTACTGGTTTCTGAGATATAGCGTTTTGAACCGCAGATATCTAATTTTCGAAATTTTGGATTTTATCTCTTTGGGGTTAGGAATTGCGAATATTCTTGAACGAGAAAAACACACTTCTTAATAACCGCTATCGCAAGCTTCCTAACAGCTGATTGCCCAATTCTAACCGTTTCTGAGATACGGGGTGTTTAAGCTTCAAACCCGGAAATTTTTTGGATATACGCTTCTATCTCTTTAGAGGTTCGTAATTTTAAATAAATTCCAAATGAAAAAGATAGCTCTTGATACTGGTTGTCGAAAAAGTCTTATCGATTAAATAGATGGTTGCAATGGTTTCTGAGATATAGTGTTTTAAGCGCTGGTAGTCTCAAATTTGAATAATTTGGGTTTTTTTGGGGTATTTCTTTGGGGTTAGAAATGTTGACTACCGTTTAATAAAAAAAAGCAGTTCTTGAGAAGGGCTAGCGCAAACTTCTTAAAAGCGGATTGGCCAATTTTATCCGTTTCTGAGATACAGGGTGTTTAAGCTTCAGAACCTCCATTTTTTTGGTTTAGCTTATATTTCTTTAGAGGTTATGCTTTTTTAATAAAACCCAAATGGGAAGGACAGTTTTTCAGACGAGCTGTCAAAAGGGTCTTATGGATTGAATAAAATTTGCAATAATTTCTGAGATATAGAGAGTTTTAAGCGCTGGTAGTCTTAAATTTAAATATTTTGCTTGCAATTTCTTTGGGGTTAGGAATTTCGAATACTATCTAATATATACAGCCCTGGGGAAGGGCTATCCCAAGCCTCCCAAAACTGATTTGCCAATTTCAACCGTTTCTCAGATACAGGGTGTTTAAACTTGAAAGCCTCAAAAATGTTTTGGTTTAGCTTGTATCGCTTTAGCGGTTATGATTTTTTTTATTAAACCCAAATGGGAAAGACAGTTCTTAAGACCCAGGTCTTATGGATTGAATCGAAATTTGCAGTAGTTTCTGAGATATCGAGTGTTTGAAGCGCTGGTAGTCTCAAATTTTAATATTTTGGCTTCTATTTCTTTGGGGTTAGGAATTTCGAATACTATCTAATACGAAAAATACAGTTCTGGAGAAGGGCTATCGCAAGCCTCCCAAAAACTGATTGGCCAATTTTAACCGTTTCTGAGATACAGGGTGTTTAAACTTCAGTGCCTCAAAAATGTTTTGGTTTTTCTTGTATCGCTTTAGAGGTTAAGATTTTTATATAAAACCCAAATGGAAAAGACAGTTCTTAAGATGGGCTGTCAAAAGGGTCTTATGGACTGAATAGAAATTTGCAATAGTTTCTGAGATATAGAGTGTTTTAAGCGCTGATTGTCTCAAATTTGTATATTTTGGCTGCTATTTCTTTGGGGTTAGGAATTTCGAATACTATCTAATATGAAAAATACAGCTCTGGAGAACGGCTATCGCAAGCCTCCCAAAAACTGATTGGCCAATTTCAACCGTTTCTGAGATACAGGGTGTTTAAACTGCAGAGCCTCAACAATGTTTTAATTTAGCTTAAATTTCGGGTTTTTGAGGCTAAAATTTGACTGACAAAATATAGTTTTTTAAACGCTCTGAAAAAACAGATATGTAGTTGAAAATAATTACGGAATAACTTTGGCAACATTCGCTTTTAATAAGACTAGAAAGGGGGGCAAGAGAAGCTACAATAGTGTTAGCAGAAGTTGAAGAGTTTGGGTTAAATAGTGTAAAAACCTTGACGAAGCAGAAAAAGTTATTTGCCTTGGCATTTAATCACCAGTTAAACGACTTAAAGGGCGACACTTTACTCAGTTTACTCATCGCAAAAACACAGATCGTCACATTGAGGATTTCCAACACTTCTAAATCTTCCCGAATTGGCAAAAAATCCAAAGAACGAACAGCATCTTCAGTTCAAACAAGTCACAATTCGTAACGTGCTCAAGCACAAACTAACCGAAAAATTTTGTTGCAGCCGACAAAAGTCCCAATGGATTTCTCCAGCGGAGTAGGAAGGCTAGTTGCCCTCAATGAGTCCCAGGAAGAGGACACAAGTCCGAGAGTTTTGAGGTGAAGTGTTTGCCATTTAATCAGCCGAAATGGACATAGTCATTTTTTATTTGTTTTCAGGTTTGAGCAGTACGAGCAAATCCCGCGAGAGGCGTTTGCCAACGGAGTGCACTCTACTCAACAATACTATCATGGAAGCCTGAGTCGACAAGCTGCGCAAGCAAAACTCCTAGCAGCTGGGACCAATGGGTAAGTCCAAAACTCCATTTAAGTCCAAAAATATTTGGTAATGCCGGTATAAAGTGAGAGTGAGATATTGTTATGAGTCACCCGGGAGATTATTTGCCGGAAAACCTGTCAGGGCGACAGCGTTTTTGTGGTTAGCGTCTAAAGTGGGTTGTTCAAATCTTGAATTGTTTAACAATGCCAGAAGCAGAAACCGTTAGATTTAGGTATAGGGTGTTATACATGAAAGATTATTTAAATTTTCCGCAGATTTCAAAACTGGAATAACATACAGGGTGTTTCAATAAAAATAAGCGAGTTAGTGTCTGCTTCCGGTAAAACCGGAAGTGCCACCATCTTGAAACTATCCTAGCTCAATAGCCCATAGTCACTCCAATACACTCCCCAACTCCAAACTTTCTCCTGCTGATACTTTGCAATCCGGGGAACATTTATCTATGTGGCATGTTCACCTAGCAGATGTGCTAAAGCTGCGGCCGCTTTCATGCTGAACAAATCGCGGACAACTTTCTCCAGTAAAGTGCGTTGACAAAACCCGTAGAAATTATCTGGGGGAGTTATTAGATGCGATTGCTCCATCTTACATGGAGACGGTTACACGTGGGTTGGCGCATATTTTTCGAGGGAGCCTGTTGGATGGGCTCCAAGCCGCCCATCAGGTGTTTGATTTTTTAAAGAATTTTGCCAACGTGATCTTTAGCACATTGTCCAGCGGCCTTGATGAAGCAACGACCTGCAGACGCGCGCTCTCCCGGCCACAAATAAAATTCGGACGCTCAGCATTGGCGTCACATATGAGGACGTCCAGCTCACTTACGTAATGGCATTAAAGTGTACCTGGCCGCTTATTTAGTAGCTTGCAAGTCATCAGATGAACAGGTTTTAACACCCGAAAGAATAATCGGTATTTATATTTTCTGCGATTATGCTAATTGCACTTGAATGTTCACGATTGGTTTGCGTGGGAGATTCGCCCATTAGCAAGCTGCCAGCAGGAATGGGAAGAGTCAATACTACCATGTGAAATTCGCTAAAAGCGAATATTTTCAATTGGATTCGACTGTCTATTGCTGCGCAATAATTCAGTTAACGTACAGTGCATTTAAAGTTTGGGGCCCCATTGAAGGGGCTAAGCCCCTTCGCATTTCKACGGTTTTCACGAGAGCCCCACAGGGCTCCTTCATCTATACTTGTGCAAAATTTCACCGCGATATCTTCAGAATGGTGGCCACTRCATTGAAGRCAAATCCGGCACTGTTTATCTAATTATCGACATTACATTTTTACYTTTTTTAGAAACTTCTTTTTGGGTATTTTGCCTCAAAATTKTTGTCTTTAAAAAAKACAKAATTTCSTCACRTCTTTTATTACAGATTGATAAWTAGTGCTCCTATTTCGCAATAAGAACGAATTATTTATCAAAAAGTAATCAAGAACTATCATATCATATAATTATAGTTAGAGAAAGAATTCAATATCACAGATTAAATAAAATCAAACTCAAAAACGAAATACATGACATAAAAGAAAACTTACGATTAATCATATATGTAATTCCGTTAATAAAACCTATAAAAGAAAATTTATTATTCAAAAACAAATTAATAACCATAAACTAGAAAAATTATTCAACGAAAAAATCAAAAAAGACATTTTTAGTATAAAAAATAAACAATTTCTGGACAAAACAATTATAAATTTATCTAATAAATCATTAACTGAAGCCGGAAAACTCGTTCTTTCTAAAGGTTTAAATTTTTCAATTACACCAAAAACCCTTCCAAAACGTGTTTTGATTTCGAGTATAGAAGAAACAACTCAAAATTTACCTGAAGAACAACAGGAAGAATTTCGTATAAGATCAAAAATAATTCTAGGAAAACCTTTCAAAATTAAACAAACATAAGCTGAATAGAGCAAAAAGCATTAATGTCCTTAAAAAAAGACAAAACAATCAAAATTTTGCCTGCTGATAAAGGTAATGCAACCGTCATCATGGATTATAATATATATGATCAAAAAATTAATGAACTTTTAAATGACAAAAGTTATTCAAAATTAAACAAAAATCCAAGAGAACGTTTTGAAAGACAAATTGATAACACTTTAAAAAAATGTAAACATGAATTCAAATTTACGTTAGATCAAAATTAACACCACACAATAGTAAAACATCACATTTTTACGGAGTTCATAAGTAAGTTGTTCATAAGAGAGATCCAAAAATTCATAAAGTTAATATTCCTATACGACCAATAGTTAGTAGCATAAATTCACCTACACATCCCTTAGCCAAATATCTTTTAAACATTTTAAATCCCCTAATAAATAACACGACTTCCTATATTAAAAATTCTGAACATTTTTTACAAAAATTGTCAGACATAGACATAAACCCAAACCATATTCTAGTAAGTTTTGATGTTGTTAGTCTATTCACTAACGTTCCTGTTGATAAAACTTTAAATATCATCAAACAAAAATTACAAAATAACACCAATCTTAAAGAACGCACACAACTAAGCATTAACACCATTATTGAACTTTTAACAATATGTGTAAAGTCAACTTACTTTCAATACAATGACAATTTTTATCAACAAAATTTTGGAATGGCTATGGGGTCACCACTATCCCCATTTTTCAGTAATTTAGTTATGGAAAATTTTGAATCAACTTTCATTAATAATTACAAATTTAAACCAATAATTTGGTGGCGTTATATTG